CGAGGGACCAAGGCTCCGAGCAGGTGGGCACGGCGGCGGGGTCTGGGCCTACGGCCCACCCCACTCACCCCTCCGCATGCGGGTTCCCGGGGCTGCCCCACGCCCCAGGAGGCACAGGTCAGCCAGGGCCACTTCCCTTTCTGGACCCCTGGGGCCGGCGCTGTTTTAGGACGGGGAATGGCACTCGGGCCACACAGCCTAGCAAGTGACAGCAGGCAGCGCCTGCTGGGTGTGGGCCAAGGGACAGGCTCTTTACGGAGACACTTGTGTGTCCTGTGCGCACGAGGCAGACACCTCAGCAGCCCAGGCTAGAGGAGAGATGGAGGCCTGGCCCAAGCGCACAATTAGTAAACGGAGGGTCTAAACCAGGAGTGGTGGTGCACACCTGTGACCCCAGCACTTTAGGAGGCTGAGGCAGGAGGGTCACCAAGTTCAAGCTCATGACTTAGTGAGACCCTGTCCAAAGATAAAAATAGAAAGGTCTGGGGGGGGTGCTCAGTGCAAAGGTCCTGAGTTCAACCTCTGGTAGGACAAAAACAAAGTCAAGGCTGGGGTTTTAAGTCTGCTGTCTGACACAGGGTCCATTCTGACCCAACTGGGAATCAGCTGAGAGCCTTTTCCTTGCTCAGCTGTGGTTAGAGACAGATCTGGAGTCTGTTCCACTAGAGTTAGGGTTTAGAGCTTAGGGTTTATGTTTAGGGTTAGGGCTGGGGCTAGGGTTTATGTTCAGATTTAGGTTTGGGGTCTCTGGTTAGGCCCGGGTTGGGGCAGAGTTAGGGTTAGGGTCCGGGTTAGGCTTTATGGTTAGGCCCAGAGTCAGTCAGGCCAAAGCTTTGTGATGCCCCCAGCACCTGCTGGCTCCTTTGCTCCTTGGCTGTCCCGCAGTGCGGGGATTGCTCCGGGGTGCTTGGCAGTGTGGTTAGGGTTTGGGCGAGAAGGGCTCAGTGCTAGTCATCCGTGTGCTCACAGTGCAGCCTCTCGTCCTGTCTGAGTCCATCCCTCTTTGCCCTTCTCATGGGTTCCAGATGCCCCCTTATCTGCCCAGCTGGTGGCAGCCAGGTTGGGATGCACAGCTGGGCCGGGGCTCTTATCAGGCCGGGCAGGAGCAGCTGCCCCGTGCCCTGGAGTGCGCCAAGGCACCCTGCACCCCCGGCCCCAGTGCCTGGGACGGCTCTCATGGCACCACCGGGGGACAGGTGCAGGGCGGCAGGGGCCGTCGAGGCCTCCCAGCTGTGGCAGAGACAGCACAGGACCCTGGGTTCTGGTCCAGCCCCCCGCCCATCAAGGGTCCCCTATCAGTCGGCCCCACCATGGATGTGGCCCATGACCCCTGGGTTAGGTTAAGCTCAGGTCCTTGGATCCCCAGACCTGAGCCTTGAGTGCAGAGTGACAGAGGGCAGAGACCCGACAGAATCAAGAAATCCGTGCTGGGCACCTCCGGGTGGGGCCCACCAGGCATGGGCTGCTCTGAGGGGGCCCCTTCCAGGGATTGTCAGGATGCACACAGCTGCACATTGGCTCAGAAACCAGGAAGTGCCACTGGGGAGTGACAGGCGTCGGGCCGCAAGGGCTCTGGGGAGCTGAGGGCTGGGATTGTGGCACAAGATGCTTCTAGGGTGTGGGCAGCTGGCAGTGCAAAAGCCCGGGGGCCAACAAGAGCTTAGTGAGCCCTGGAGCCCGAGAGAGGCCAACGGGCAAGGCAGAAAGCACAGAAGGGACAGGGCTCACACACTTCAGAATGCTGCAGCCCCAATGCCAGTGCTGGACCACTGGGCTGCGGGGGACCCTCAGAGAGCCCAGGCCCTAGAAGGGCAGGGAGCCAGTGAGGCCTGAGCTGGTGAGAAGAGCCTGGCCCCCTTCCAAGGCACGCCTTCTCAGCCCCCTTCGATCTCTGCCCACCGCACAGGGACCCGTGCTGTGGGTTATGCTGGGGCCTGGATCACCGGGGACAGCCGGACGTGCAGGACAGAGTCATGGGGGACCAGCAGGTGGGTGTCAGCACTCGATGCCGTCCAGGACTAGGGCCACGCAGCCAGGCCCTGAGACTTTGCCTCGTGGTAGGAGGACTTCGGAGCGGGGCTGGCGGCCCCAGCAGAGCAGCCCGGGGAGGAGGTGCTGGACATCCCTGAGCACGCTAGGCACCGGGAGGACAGAGCACAGGACAGAGAGATGCCGGGCAACCTGGACCACGAGGAGGGGCTGGAGGAGGCCCTGGACCTGGAGGACTATGAGGACCTGGGCATCCCGAAGCCCCAGGAGGAGGAGCTGCAAGGTAAGTCGGCCCTGCCCATTTGCCCCCCGCAACTGTAGCTGATTGAGGGTAAACAGCGCTGTGTTTGGAATGAGGACAGACGGTGGGGGGGGGTAGATGCCATCCAGCGCCCCTCCCTGGCAGAGGCGGCCAAGCCTGCTGGCCAAGGGCATGACCGCCACCGCTGGTCCTCCAGTGCCTGCTCCTGGCCAGTGCACGTCCCATTTGGGGAGGTCACTCTGTCTTGGGGGCCGGAGGTGCTGAGAAAGAGGGACCCGGGGGACCCAGAGCAGAAACCCAAGGTCTGTACCACCTTCCCCACCAGCCCAAGGTCTCTGGGGAGCTCCAGGCAGGGCTGTTTACTGTCAACAGGACTTAAATGCTGGCAATTGGGGTTTGAAGTGGGGCTGGGGTATAAGAGGCGAGGCGCTCGCCTGCCCGCAGTTCTGCAAAGGACCTGGCTGGAGTTGGGGTAGAGGTGGGAAGAGGGGCTGGCTGAGACCCACTAGGTCCTTCCCATTGTCTCGTGGGAGAGTGGGGGTCCTGCACGAGGCTGTTAGGGTTGTGGAGCCAGAGGTCCCAGGATGGGAATGGAACAGGCAGGGTCCCTGAGGCTCACGGTGGGGTCGGCAGGGGCTGGGGAGGGGCCGTTTCAGAGCAGCGCTGACCACCACTGGGCCTTCAGCTCTCCCCAGCGCAGAGCCCACAGCCTCAGACTACGTCCCTGCCAAGCCTCAGCCAGGCACCCAGGAGGTGAGTACCCCAGCCGGCCCTCGAGGCCTGTGTCACCCTGGGGTCCCACAGACAGCCAGGAGGAACAGCATCCTGAAAACGGGCGGTGCCTCCATCCTTCCTGGACAGGGCCAGGGCCTGGGAGAGGGTGCGGACAGAGGGGACCGGGCCCCACTTCTGCCCCAGCCTGGGGTTCACGGGGCTGTGGCTGCAGGTCTACGTGCAGCTGCAGGAGCTGTCGATGGACGGGAAGAACGCAGAGCTGCAGTGGGCAGAGGTGGCCCACTGGATGCGCGTGGAGGAGAACGTGGGGCCGCGGGGCTCCTGGGGCCGCCCTCACGTGTCCTACCTCACCTTCTGGAGCCTCCTGCAGCTGCAGAGGGCCTTCGCCAAGGGTGAGCCTGCGGCGGCCCCGCCGGGACGGCGGGAACCCTGGGATTGTCAGCGCTCATGCCCGCCTGCCCGCCATCTGTGCAGGCACCGTCCTCCTGGACCTGCAGGAGCGCTCGCTGGCCGGTGTGGTGGATGAGCTGCTGGACAGGCTGATCTTCGAGGACCGGATCCGGCCTGAAGACCGCACGCCCCTGCACCGGGCTCTGCTGCTCAGATGCAGGTGCTTGCCCCGCGCCCCCGCCCTGGGCGCCCCAACCACGCAGCCTGAAGACCCCACCTGAGGGGCCTGGGCTGTCCAGGGAGCCTCTGGCCTGCTGGCTGGACAGCCTGCACAGCCCACTGAGCCCCATGTGTCCTGCAGCCACGCCCAGGACCAGGAGGCCCTGGAGGGGGTGACCCCGGCTGTCCTGACGCGCTCCGGGGACCCCCACACACCTCTGCTGTCCTCGCAGCCCTCACTGGAGACCAAGTTCTTCTGTGAGAAGGTGCGGCCATGCTGGGGAGCGGGGGGCCCTGGGCCAGGGGACGGTGGAGAGGCGGGCTGGGGCTCAGGCCGCACCTTCCCACAGGGCGAGGGGGACCCCGAGGTGCGCCTGGCGTCTGCGGTGCTGGAGCAGATCCCAGAGGCCTCCGAGTCGGCCCTGCTGCGCGTGGGTAAGAGCCAGGCCTTGTCCCAGTCCCCACGGAGGCCCCACTCGCTGGCCAGCTGACCGCACCGCCCATCCCGCAGGCCGAGCGGACTTCCTGGAACAGCCAGTGCTGGCCTTCGTGCGGCTGCAGGAGGCAGCAGAGCTGGAGTCCGTGGAGCTGCCCCGGCCGGTGCGCTTCCTCGCCGTGCTGCTGGGGCCCGAGCAGCTCCACACCGACTACACACAGCTGGGCCGTGCCTTGGCCACCCTCATGTCTGAAAGGGTGAGGAACTGCGGGCGCCTGCAAGTCCATTCCGTCCGGAGCACCGGCTCCCGCTACTCCCAGCTCCCCGCCCCGCCCCGGCCCCACCTGCTCTCCAGGCCCCAGGGAGAGCGTCTGGTCCTCAGGCTCCCCTGCACCCCGTCCCTGACACGAGTGTCGCACCAGGTCTTCCGGATGGACGCCTACCTGGCGCAGAGCCGCGGTGAGCTGGTGCGCTCCCTGGACAGCTTCCTGGACTGCAGCCTGGTGCTGCCGCCCACGGACGCCCCCTCGGAGCGGGCGCTGCTCGGCCTGCTGCCCGTCCAGCAGGAGCTGCTCCGCAGGCGCTACCTGCCCAGCCCAGAGCCGCCCCCTCCCGACTTCTACAAGGGCCTGGGTACGCCCCGCCCC